GGAGTTTAGGGGATGTGGTATATTCCTGGGGCAGAGAGGAGAAGATTTTCTGCTGGGGCTGGACATTGGGGTGCATTTCAAGACAGCACATGCTAACCTGCTCTTGACTTGGATGAGATCATGTGTGGAAACACATACCTTAGCTCAGGCTGGAATACTTGTAGGGGAAGATGGTTGCAGAACTTCACACCCAGCACATGTTCTTCCCTCTTTCTTCCAGAGCCATCGTGTTTGTGGTGGATAGTGTGGCCTTTCAGCGGGAGGTGAAGGATGTGGCAGAGTTCCTGTACCAGGTCCTAGTTGATAGCACTGTGCTCAAAAATGCACCCGCGCTCCTGATCGCTTGCAATAAGCAAGGTATGTGTGCTGCCTTGTAGGCTGGATATTGAATTCAGGCCTTGAATTGAATGAACCTTAGGGGTTCGTGCCATAGATGCTGAATTTCTGAGGAGTTGGGATTTCAGCAAAATGAAGGCTGGAATTTAGTTTTAAACTTGGACTGCTCAGTAGGAACGTTTCTACCAACCACTGGAAGAATTCGTAGGCCGGGTATATCTTAATAGCTTTGCAGAGAAGCATCACTTGGGAGAGCTGCAGCTTTTTAGATGAGCTGAAATAAGGCAGGTGGCTTTCTGCTTGTACAGAATTTACTGTCTTCCTGAATCAGCAGGCAGCTGAAAATGGGATTAATTTGCACATAATGAATTATTTATACACACTTCATATTTTCAGTGTTAAAATCATACAGCCATTTAGCTGGTGAGATCACGTATTATTTTCTTTTGACTGGGCGATTCTAAGTGATTCTTATAGATTCTAAGAGAATCTAAGAGAAGAGAATGTAAGGTAATACAAGTCCTGGTAGCTCTTAGGACTGCACAGTGTAAGTGTGCCTTACTGTGCCTTTAGGAAGAGGTACCAGGTACTGATTCCACACATAAAACCAAAGAGCTGATTTCCTTTTCTTTTCTCTGTCTAGATGTCACAATGGCAAAATCAGCAAAACTTATTCAGCAGCAGCTGGAAAAAGAGCTGTAAGTATGAAACTGGATCTTAAACCATGTGATTCTTTCTGTTTCTTACCTCAGGGCTCAGTGAGCTCCCTTTTAAGCTGCATCTAACTTCATTGTAGAAAATGAGCAGTCTATTTTGTCTGTTTAGGCGTAACCAGGATGAGAGAAGATTGCTTCTTGTTAAATCATGCAAAAAAAAGCAGTAGGCATAGACAGTGTATGGCCTCCTAAAAGCTGTGGGTTGGGGAAACAACATCCCAGTCCTTTCCTAAAAGCTGCCATACCTAATTCAGCAATACCTTCCTTGCCTCAGGCACTGTCCTCTCTCCGGTACAGCCAGAGTTGGCTTCCAGATGTCAGACTTTCTGTGAGTGGTGTGACGATCTCAGTAGCTCTGCTCAGCTGTACTGGCATGGGTTGGATTTTTTTCAAGGCTGCTCTGACTCAAAAGGGCTTGGCATGCAAAGCAGAAAGCTGGGGAGAGAACCTCTAGTTTTCCTGTTGTAACAGGCATTGCAGGAGTCTGGGACCCCATATTGGTTCTGTATCCATCCTCTAGGAAGGACGTTAACCTGGGAAGAATGATATATGATCTATTGCTAATTTCAAGTTCTAAGAAGAAGTGGAAGGAGGAGAAAGTGGCTTATAGACTGTGCTATATTGTAAGCTGCCACTCTGCAGCTGTACTTTCTAGCAGGTACTTAAAAGAAGTGGCTACAGTGCCTGCCTCTGCCTGTGCCTCACAGGATAGAACCACGAGACCATCTACCCTTGGTGTAACTGGCGTCCTGCTGACAGAGCTGGGTACAAAACACCTCAGCAGCCATGGTGTAGGTAATGTTTCCCTGGTCCACAGTTCTTGACACTTTTCCCTTCTCTGTCTGCAGCAACACTTTACGAGTGACCCGCTCTGCAGCTCCCACAAGTCTGGATGGCTCAGCCATTGGGGGCCCTTCCCAGCTGGGGAAGAAGGGCAAGGACTTCGACTTCTCACAGCTACCCATGAAGGTGGAATTCGTGGAGTGCAGTGCTCGGGGCAGCAAGGGAGAGGAGGGAGATGCTGACTTTGAGGGTCTGGAGAAATGGCTGGCCAAGATCGCCTAAACGGAGAAGAGCAAGGCTGGAGGGGAGAGTCTTGGAGAGGCAGGACACTTGAGCACTGAAAGGAAAAAGAGGGCCTGAAGGACTCAAATCTGGTCTTGCTTTAGAAAGAGGAAGCTTAACCTGGAAATCAGCATTGTGGTAACTTCCTCTGCTGCTCAAGGGCTTGTGAGCAACATGACACAATTGCTGGTGTGATTTCCTCTGTCTCCATACCGCACCATTGTTTTTTTCTCCCCTCTTCCTTTGTCTTGCTCTGGGATGCTGACTGTCTGGGCTTCTGTGTTTCTTTAATCTTTCATTTGGTAGTTGCCAAGCAAATTAGGAAGGAGTGCATTGCCAAATGAGTTTTACAGATTGGAGTCTGCTTATTTTCTTCTTACTTGGTTTAGCATTGCGACCCTGCTACCTCTTGGAACTGCCAATAACCTCCTGATTCGGAATTCCTTCCCCAGCCTCTCACTCCTTAGAAGCACTGTTCACATTGCCTGTGCTGTCCTGGCAAAGGCACAGACTCTCAGTTAGGCAATCATTGAGTATAAAATGGTGTTTTCCTCTGTGTCTCCTACCTTGCTGTTCTTCCAAAATGGTGCAGTTCCATTTCTGTGGGACTGGAGTGGCCTGTCAGATACCACAGCGAGGCTGGCAGCTCTGCCTTTGTCACTGTGTTCTGCCTGTGTCCAGCTGTGGTGTCCATATCTTCAGGTGATTTCCACTGTTGGACAGTTCTTGGGAGTTTTTATTTAATGAGGGCTATGTCCTAAAAGCTTGTTTCACTCTGCTTCTCCTCCTCTTACTTCAGACATGTATGCACACCCTCCAAGTGGCAGAGTTTATAGTAAGGTGTTAGCTTGTAATCATGAGATGGGCAAGTTTTCACATTCATACCTACAGTATGTGTGAGATGTGGCATGACAGGCGTTTGCTGTGCAGTCCCCTGCCTGTCTGCTGCTCCAGTGACTGTAGCAAGATCTTTTCTTGTGTGTAATTAGTCAGTAGTCATGGCAAAGAGAGGGAAAGTCAAGGAGCTGCTAGTGAGGTAGTGTGATTCTTTCTCCTGAGGAAGATGCTCAATAAAGAGGGGAAAGAAATGTTTTTCCCAGTTAATTTTCATTTGTCTCTGGTGTTTAAAACCAAAGTGGCTGCTGAGTGTATGTGATCTCAGTCTTGCAGGGAAGATTCATGGAATGCCTGTAGCTGTCTTGATGGCTCTGGAGGCTGCTTGGAGCATTGGAGGGCTCTCATCCAGCATGCTTCTGAACTGTCCAAGAGACATTTGCACTCCTACTTCCTATGCTTCTGTGAGGAACATTGACTATCCAAAGGGAGATCTTCCCACAGCAGTGGTGGTAGTCAGATGTGAGACAAGAGCCTGGTGCTGTTAATTCAATTTCCCCTTCTTGATCAGCCTTAAAACACAGTTGCCTTGCTCAGCAGCTTCACAGAGCTTTCTGCTCTGATGGGGTATCATTTCTGTGCTGCACCTATGTGAGGATGATTGCTCTCCACACTGTGAGGTCCTATGGCATTGACACATCCCCTTTGTTCTTGATGCATCCCCTTTTGTTTTAGGGTAGGAAAGAGTGGCTGGCTCCTGGTAGATTCTTTTTGTCCTTTGCAGGTTCCTCTGCTCTGTTTTGGTGCTCCCTTCATCGCTCAACTGATCTATTGTGTTCATTTGCTTTCCGGGGAATTCTCTGCCTCACTGTAGCATTGCCAAGTGTTAGGAGTGTTTGGAAGAGCAAAGACAGTCTTCAGCAAAGACTTGTACTTGTAACAAAGCATTTCTAGTCTTTTGAACCCAGTGACTCTTCTACTATCCTTGCAGGAGGTGGGGAGGGTTATATTTACAAATGGGTTATATTTACAAACTGTTGTATTTCCTGCAGCCAGAATATTGTTGGAACATGTCATGCTTTGAATGCCTTTAGCTGGAGATCCTTTTTAGACTGCCTGCTTTGAATTCATGATGCTGAAGTGGCAGTATTGCTGTTTCTTTGAGTAGTTACTTTGCTTGCAAAGAAAGACCTGCATCCTTGAAAAGCAGAGGCCAAGCACCAGCCTCTGCTTGAGTGAAGTGGGAAGGTAGCATGAGGCCGTGGTTGCTTTTAAGTTATTAAAAATATTCCTTAAACTTTTTTGTTCTTAAGTGTTTGTTCTCAAGACTTGTTTTTGTCTGTATTTGCCTTGATTCTTCTGAGCTGTGTCAAATCTGCATGGATTGGGGCTTTCCTTCTGCTCAGCATTGATGATATTAGAGATCAACCTCCTGCTTGGTAGCCAGGTCTGTGTTATCAAAAAGCAATGTGTTATCCACATGCAGAGCTTTAGGTTTGTTTTGTTTTGGGGTGTGTATTTAATCCTTAGTCTGAATGTTAGATAGTTGATCTGTGTGGTGGTGTCAGCGTGCTGGAGGGCAAGGATGGGATCCAGCGGGACATTGACAGGCTGGAGAGGTGGGACCATGTGAATCTCATGGAGTTCAACAAGGCCAAGTGCAAAGTCCTGCACCTGTGTCAGGGTAATCCCAAACGCAGACTCAGGCTGGGTGGAGCAGCCCTGAGGAGAAGGACTTGGGGTATGGGTTGAGAAACTCCCCATGTCGCCTCTTGCCTGCAAATGGTGTAGGCAGGGTGCAGAGACCTGGGGGCTGGCACAGCCTGCCTGCCCTCTACAGCCCCTCATCACTTGTGGAGTTATGTGGAGGAACACATGCCGCATCTGCTATCGTTTCTTCACCTTGGCCAGTGAGGAATGCACTTAGCATCTGTCAGGATGTGACCAGCAAAGCACCACAGTTGGAAAAGTGACCTTTATTTAGAAAAAAAAATACAATAAAGAGCAACAACCCCCCCTCTTCCCCCCCCCCCCCCCCCCCCCCCCCGTAAACCCCTGGTGATAATTTCACATAACTTCACATGTGCACTGTCCACGTTGACCTCTGCGAGGGGTGTGGGCAGGGAGAGACATGGGGTACACTCAGGGTTGGCAGTTGTCTCCCCTGCTCCCATCCCAGCCAGGAGGGCATTACCTGGCTGGAAAACATCACACCGGAGCAGGGATCGTCGCCCACAGCAGGCACTTCTCTGAGTATATAGAATGGGGCTGTGATCCAGTCCCCATCTGCCTCCTGTTCCAAAGTGATGGGCAAGGTGCAGCTGAAGAGCCTGGGAGAAGCTGGTCCCAGGATGGGGCTGGGATAGAGCATCCCTCGCTGGGAGGATGGCCCTGTCACGGGCTGCAGGAGAGGAGCTCAGAGCTGCTAAGGTGAAGTTGCTCCCTTAGGAGGAAAAACAAACCCAAAAGAGACAAAGAAGTGGCAGTGGGTAATGGGAGGTGTACAGTCAGTCCTCGGGTGGGTTACACCAGCCCTGCTGCCTTCTCCTGCACGTTGTACTCCTTACTCCTCTTCACCTTCCAGCTGATGAGGGCCAGGAGGATAGTGCCCACCACCTTGTAGCCTATCTGCAAGCCCAGGTATCTGTTGGAAGAAGAGCAGGGAGACACCATGTCTGGAGGTGGCACCACCCAGCTGGCACCAGGCTGAGCTGGGGATCATCCCCGTGGCCATCCCTGCTGGGGACATGACATGTGGCAGGGGTACCTGTTGCGGAGGAAGTCGTTGTTGTAGTAGGCACAGAACCGGCGCTGGGTGCACTGCTTCTGCCAGTAGATGCAGGAGGAGTCGATAAGGGCACCGAACATGGCCGGAGCTGGCAGCCAGGCTTTGGAGAAGAGAGGATGGAGTCAGGCTGCCCATGCTGCCCCTGCCTGTGTGCTTTGCTTGCTGTCACCAAGAGGGTTCAACACCTCCTGGGGCTCAAGCAAGCCTCCGAGCATGCTGCTGCCTTCCCCCAGCTTCCTTAGGCTACGGACACTCACCCAGCAGTCTCATTAGTAAGAACTGGACTCCAATGGCAAATGACTTCTCGTCCTGGTTCACCACCCTGGAGGAGAGAAGCCATGGGAGGTCAGATCAGGCGGTGTATCTGCATTTAGTGAAGCATCTTTCTTTGCCTGTTGCATGTTAAAGAGGCCCCACTGATTGCAGCATGGGGAACCCATTACAGCATGGGCTCCCCCTGTGCCTTATGACTTCTCTGCCCATTGCTTACCTTAAAACCATCATGTAGAGGGGGTTGTGGGACAGGCAGGCTACCAGGGCAGCAAAGGAGATGAGGAATATGGCAGGAAGGAGCATGTGAGAGCAGCTGAGCGGACAGGAGCCTGTCTTGGCAGAGGACAGCCCACTCGCTGCAGGGATCAGGGAACAGTTCCTGTAGATCTGTTGGAAACATTTGGAAAAAAACAAAACATAGAACTCCCAAAGCCAAGAGCAAGAGTTTTAGTGATGCACCAGACCCCATCACTTTGCAGAACACTGACAAGAGCGTCAGATCCAATTTTAAGGCATGGCCATGGGATCCTGCAATGGGGTGTGTCTCCATCCCTATTTCTCCAAGCAGAACCCCAAGGCATGACAGCAATTCTCTATCGTGCCTTCTCAAGACCACAGCTCCTCTGGTAGACCTCCCTGCCTACTAGACTTTACCCTGTTACTGCTTTAGTCAGGTTCCTACAGCATTGCTGCAGCTTCCATTGCCACCAGCGAGCAAGACGTGCTCTGCTTTGCAAACCACTTATTTTACTCACCACTTGTTTGGGAGTGGAGGAATAAGCGGTGCTGTTTGTGCAGCCAGCAAAGCAGGGAGAGATGTACTCCACATTGTTTTCTCCACACACTGGGTGAAAGATGTGCTCAGAGCAGTGGCACCCTGTTGGCGTCTTAACCTGCTGCTGGGAACTCAATGTACTGCCAAAAAAGAGGAGAAAAAGAAGATCATAAAAAAAATGAAGAAATAGGACGTAAAGGATGTAAAATCCCCCTCACTGGCTGACCAGGTTCCCTGATCCTATTTGCGCTGGGACACTGCCAGCAGCAGGCTGGCCTTCTGCCAGGCCCTGATCCCCTGCAGGTACCTCTGCAAGTTTACATTGAACTTCTTAGCAGTAATTATGTTATGTCTGCAAACAAGCACTCACACACTTCTTATTTCCCCCCTTCCCAGCTGAAAACCAAACATCCAAATGCCTGGAGAAATACATCTGGGCTCCATCCAGAACTGCACAAACAGATGTGCAAGCAGCCCCAGCTGGAAACACCATTCAGACAGAAACTGGAAGCGGGCTCATTTCCAAACAAGCCTGACAACAGCGTGAAAGTCAAGAGGACAAACTGAATTATCTGTCCTGTCTTGCCTTACTAGCTAAGGGAACGCATCCGCTGGAGCAGCACAGTCTGTCTTCTACAGGAAGCTGGCATCAGGGACCTGCCCTTGGGCATGGAGGAATGGGGCAGAACTTATGTTAACCCATCCACGTAGTCCTCAGCTACCTGGCAATTTATGCACTGCTGCCATTGTGGGGTGGAGGTTTCCAAAATAATATAAGGAACCAACCTTTTTCCATGCAATTGCCTTCTTGTTACTCCAGCAAAACCTATTCAGACTACTGCGTCCCAGAGGAGCTAAGGCACTGACACTGGTGGCAAGAGGTGAACACTGTAAGGCCAACATGCCTCCCAGAATTCATCATCTGCAGCACCTGATCTTGAGCTGAGGGTTCTCCTCACATTTGAAGCCCTGCTCTCTCATGGAAAGCTTGGGATGCCAGCGCCTCAGGGTCTTCCATATACTCCTGAGTTCATGGGGCATGCTGTGCGGATCTCAGAGCATGTATGCATTTGCAGAGTGCTTTGCTTTCCTTCACCATGGCTATTTAAGTGTTTTTTAAGTGGGAGAAGCACATAGACTGCCCTGTTCCTTACCCCTCCACTGTGCCCCTGGGGCAGGAGGCTTATTGCTGGCAAAGGGAAACATCTATACAAAATCCCCTTGCTGGCAGTGCATTGGGAAATGAGCGTGATGCACTTGGTGGAGTGGAGTCTAATTCTGGGGTGGAGCCTAAATGCAATATTTATCTTAAAAAAAGACATGGTAAAAGCCAAGTTTCCACCCTGGTGAGGAGAAAGATGATGTCCAGCTGGAACAAAGGGAGTGCACAAGATGCCAATGCGGACATGAGCACTAATACTACTTATTTCTCCCTAGAAATACAGAGTGAAAAATAAAACTTGTTTGGTCAGTACAGAAAATCAGGAATAACTTTCCTCCCAGTCTTTTGGTGCTGTATAGCACTTAGATCTCCTCCAGGCAGTGCAATCGAGGAGCAAGCAGTAAGTAGCATGGTTATGTCTACTGCTTCTTCCCATCCACTGGCATGTATCCCACCCCATGGATAAACAGGTCAAGAGCTGGAGGAACAATGAGCTAAGACCAACTGAATCACCCGCAGTCACCTGAGGGGATAGATCCCATCGATGCGCCCTGTGGAGCAGCCCATGAAGAAAATGGGCAGGCAGATGAGGATGGAGAAGACAAGCACCACCACAGCAAACCGGGGAATGGCCCGGAGGGAGAAGGCAAAGCGCTTCATGATGATTCCTCCTAAAAGCATCCCGAGTGCTGCTGCTGGCAGGTTCACAGCTCCTGCCGAAGAACAAAGGCATTAGCGGAGGGTCCTGCCTGCCAAGCACCTCTCTGTGGGCAGTGGGTGGCAGTAGAGGCTTTGTGGACATCGTGGTGGTTGGGAGAACTCGCAGACCCACCTTTACCCACAACAGACCAAACCCCAAGGCAGCTGGCACCGCCAGAAACCTCAGCCTCAGGAACTTGGCTAATCAAGCTGGGTGCATAATCACTTGCTCTTGCAACATCAATACCTAAAGGGGGCCTACAAGAAGTCTGGAGAGAGACTTTTACAAAGGCCTGTCATGACAGGACAAGGGGGAATGGCTGTAAACTGAAAGAGGAGAGATTCAGGTTAGATATGAGGAAGAAGCTTTTCCCTATGAGGGTGCTGAGGCACTGTCACAGGGTGCCCAGAGAAGCTGTGGCTGCCCCATCCCTGGCAGTGTTCAAGGCCAGGTTGGACGGGGCTTGGAGCAACCTGGTCTAGTGGAAGGTGTCCCTGCCCATGGCAGGGGGTTGGAACTGGATGAGGTTTAAGGTCCCTTCAACCCAAACCAGTCTGGGATTCTACAGGCTTTTAAGCATCTGAGTGATCCAGAGCTGCTTCACCATGTGAACTACAACTGTGGAGGGTCTTTGAGAGTTGCAAGATAGCCTGGCCTGCTGCAGACAGATCAGGAAAGTCATCAACCACCTTGAGGTGATCCCTAGGTCTCATCTGAGAATGAGTTTCCAGTGACTTCCTCCCGCAGGGTTTGGAAAGCCTGGGGAATACGGGGAGGTGGCTCACTGCTGATGGGTGTCCTCTACCGTGCAGCAGCTGCTCACCAATGAGGAAGTTGGCGTACGAGGAGGAGGCACCGTACTGCTTCTCCAGGAACTTGTTGAGGAAGGTGGCCAGACCTGCGATGACCGAGGAGAAGCTGCACTGCGCCAGCACCAGCAGGATGAAGAGGGGATTGAGGAGCAGCCTGAAAAAGATCTTTGGGAATCCTACAGGGAATCAGGAGGTAAAATGTATTTCAGCCATATGATCCTCACATCAGCCATTCATACTGTGAAAAAACACACACCCTTAGACTGTTCCCAGTGAGCTCATGGGGATGAATTTAGACAAGGGATGTCTAAGGCCATCCTAATGCGGCCCAGAGTATGGCCAAAGTGCCCTGAGAAGCGAGGTGGAAAATAGCTCTGCCAGCTGCCTTCCTCCCATGCTTTCCAAATGCACAAGCATCTGGAGCACTTAGCAGCCACAATGCCCTTGTTTGTCTGGAGCAGGGCCCATACCCTCAGGTGGTTCAAACAGACAAAGCCTCAAGGGTTTTGGCAGAGCTCTGCTGGCTGTGTAAGGGCAGGGTCTGGCTCCTGCTGCTGCTGCCGAACAGCGTGTTTTCCTGGTGGGACATTATGTCCCCCTGCCCTTTCAGCAGAGGCAGGCTGACTCCAGGCTCCCCAGGAGCAGTTCTGTTTATTTGGTCTCTAATTAGCCTTCCCCTCCTAGCAAAGACGGGATCGTCTTTGTTCATCAAAGCCCAGTGAGGCAGAGGGAGCTGACAGCTCCAGGATATGACTTCGGCGGATGGAGAGGGAAGGAGGGAGGGGCTTTATCTGGAAAGAAACCATCATGGAGCTAAAAAAAGTCATTAAACTGGTCTCATTAGTGACATCCCTATGCAAGCCTGTTCCAGCTATGCATAAACAAACCAGTGTAAGCTGCAGTGCAATGACCTTCCCAAAGCAGCAGCTGGTGGTGCCAGCAGTCCCATGTCCTCTCCTGAAGCTGTGGGTTAAACCTAGTGTTTTCATGCCATTTTAAGAGCCTCAAACCAATTTTCATGAATAATTCAGGCCCCACTGTCTTATGGCAAGAGGGAGGCTGTGTCCATCTTCCCATAGTCCTTAGGGAAGGGAATCATACAGCCCTCCTGGCACCAGAGCTGGCCCTGGAATCTCCACAGGACATGATGGATGGGCTCAGGGGCCCCTAAGAAGCACCCTCAGCTTGAAAACAACAGTGTGGTGATCTCCACCCACCCAGCATGGCCTGAGGCCCTGTTCACCCTCGCCTTTATGAGCCAGTCCTTTACTTTTTATGAACTCTAGCAGGGAGGTTTCTTCTGCCATCCCCTTCTCCATCTTCCTGAGCATGCCGGCCTCCATGTTCGAGTCCTGGGGAGGGAGCAAAGAGCAGCAACCCATGGTGAGAAGACGTGCATGGGTGGCACCATCCGGGAACGCAGCAAGGCTCAAGAGGAGCAGGGTCTGTCCCAGATGCATTTGACCCCCATTAGACCAAAGGGGTGAATTAGCTCAAAAATCACTGCAGCTCCTGAGCAGAGCTGAAAGGCAAAAGCTTGTCCTGATCCAAGACGTTTTAAGGACTTGAAAAGCTTTTCTCTCCTTAACCCTGATGAGATAGCTGCAAAAAGTCTAAAAATGAAGGCTGGACACAGGTCAGCTCAAGCCTGGAAAGTCGTCTACCTATAGTCATGAAATATTTTGGCTTTGATTTTGACCTTTAAAGAACTGATGATTAAACAATTTCAAAACAGAACAATTTTGAAACTGAACCAGTGGGACTTGGCATTGAAAACACTGAAATGAAACATTTTAATAATTTTGCATCTTTTAAAATGTGGTTTAATGGGAAATTTGTCCTTTTTCTGCAATTTGTTCCTAAAGGAAAACCCCGTTTGTCACACACACATGCCAGTTCTCCACCCAGCTTTAACCCAGTGCTGCTCCCATGTATGCCGCACTTCAGGATGCTCTGCTCTGAGCAGGGACTGTCACTGATGATGATGCTGGCATCAGGGGTGTGTGACCTTGCCAGGGGTGTTGCAGTGGATACAGCCATCACCAGCAGAACCAGACTTTTCCCTTGTGAGAATTTGTAACCACATCTGAGAAGGACTGAATGCTCCCTTTTCTCCCTCCCACCCCTCTCCTCTGGGGACAGGTATTCTGTCCATGGGCACAGCCCAGCCATCAAGATGTTCTGGCCCTCTGGAGATGAGGTCTCACCTGTCCTTTCAGCATGTACCGAGGGAAAAAGAAATAAGGAATGGATGTGAGCACCAAGCAGCCTGAGGAGATCAGCAGCCCCAGCCACCAGGCTCCAATCCACCGCTGATCCCCTGGTGTCAGGGCCACAGTAGCTGCAAGACACAAGGACCTACCATAAGACTTTTGCTCCTGAACATCTAACGATGAAAGGGGCAAACATCCATAGCATATGGACTGGTGGGGCACAGAGACCATGTGGGCACAGTCCAAGGGTCTGTCCAGTGGCAAGGAAGAGCAAATGGATGGAGGTTGGAGCTCCCACCAGTGTTGGTAGCAAGCCCAGCCTTGGTTGCATTTTGCCACCTTCCCCCTGGCTAGGATCCTTCCCCACCACCCCCCCATCTGAACCGTGCTGAGCCTCCTGGATGACTGTAGGATGGATTTAGTCAGCACTGCCATATGCTCATGGCACATGCTCAACTCTTGCCCATTGAGCCAGCCAGCAAGGCGGCGACTATGGGAGCCTGATTCCATCCTCTTCTGCCTGGGGCCTATGGTAGGTTTCGACCATGCTGCCTGCCAGGGATGCTGAGCTAAGACAGTGGCCGGGAAAGGGCACAGCTACATTCCTGGAACAAACTGCACTCCCATTGTTCCAGGCTTGGTCACTCTCTGCTTGCAGAGATCAAGGGAAAGACCCATGCCGGCAGAAGAGTGCTGTTAATGAGCCTGGTTTCCGAGTGGATGAAACTCTAGGCGCCTTCTCCGGAAAAAGGAGGAGAAGGTGAGAGCCGCTCCGTCTCCAGTGCAGACATCCTTCAGCTGGGCCAAGCGATGCTCACGGGAGCTTGATGGATTGCTTGGCTTGGCATGGGGACTGCATCGCCCCATCGTCAGGACGTTAAGGCTGGGAAAGGAACCAGCAGCAGCCTCCGGGTGGGAGCCCTGTGCCAGGGTGCGGCAGGAGAGGAGCCCACACCCCACTGAAACAATCGCTCCACTTCCCCAAACAGGACCACTCCACTCTGCAGCTTGGACGTCATCATGGAGCGACCAGGCAGAGGCTGCTAAATCTGTCTGCCGCTGCAGGGAGCCAGCCAAGGCTTTTTGCTGTTTCCTGCCCCAGGTTCATTTATTATTCTTATCAGGCAGCGGACAAAAATGTCAGGCGAGCTCTGATCTCTCTAAGGAAACACAGGAAAAAGCCATGTTAATGATGGAGCTGGGGAGAATTCTTTAGTGATTAAGTTACCAGAAATAATAAGCACGCACCACAGATAAAGAAAATAAGCCTTGTGGTGGGGTTGGCTTGATCCCTCTCTTTGCAGATACCGGTGGGGAGGAGGAGAAGTAGACTCGAGCCTTCCTGTGTACCCACAGGGCAGTGGTTGCCCTGTGATTGCCTTCTCCATCCTTGAATGCTTCAGATGTCCCTACGCTTCTCCACCACCATGTTGGAGTAGTGTGATACTTCCTCAGCATGGTGGCAGTAGGTAGACCTCAGCAATGCTCACCAGTGTTTCAGTTCAGCCCCATGAGTAGGACACTGAAATGTCCCTACCACAGGGCTCTGCTTCAGGACCATCTGTAGCCTTCCTCATGGGGAGATGGAGTGGAGAAATGTACGAGGGCTCTTTCCAGGGGAGCCATTCTGGGGCTCATGGGACTGGTGGCTGAAGCTATCTCTCAGAGTGACCTTCTGCCTCACAGAGGACTTTTAGGAGGGCAATCGCTCCTTGAGAAATAAATACTCACCAATGTCAACTCTCCCAATATCCACAAAGAGCCGCAGCACCACAGATCCCAGCAAGTATCCAAAAGCAGGGCCAAACACAGCAATTGCAAAGAGAATGGCTGAAAAGAGGGAGCAGAGCCAGTGTGAGAAGGGAACAATAACTTCCGTGTGTTTTTTGTCTTCCCATGTGAGGCATGAATGGTGTTACAATATGGAGAGGAGAGAAACCCATCTTTTATCAAGCAACAGATGATGGGAAGATTCCCATTGCTCAGATACTAAACATGGTGTTTATCCAAAAGGATTAGGAGGAGGGCAGGCAGCTGCCTGCAGAAGTCCCTCTGCTCTGCTGTAATCAAGGCTTTGCTGATGTGCTAGAAGCTGTCAGCTACACCATGAATATCCATGATTCACTGTGACAAAAGGGGGAGCCACAGAGAGAGGCAGGATGCTTGCATCCTGGGCTCCAGCAGGTAACAGAGACCTTCATCTCCTGCAGGAGTCCAAGGAAACAAAGCCTTCTCAGTCCTTAGATCCAAGCAAAGACTCTTGGTGCAAACTTCAGGGGAGGTGGAAAATGCTGAGAGCAAGAAGGCTGGCAGATCCACCTTGGTTCAGCTGAACTATCCCTTTCAAAAAATAGATGACATGGACCTAACTTGTGAGGTCAAAATATTTCCTTTTGACTTCTTTGGAATGAAAGGATTTAAGATCCCTCCCTGAAAGAAACTCTCTGCACAATCTTCTTATGATCAAAGAGAGATAGTTTGCTTGAACTTCACTGACTATTCCTGTGTACTTTGGTGGTCAGGAGCCTTTGAGTATACTGGGTATGAAAGCACCTGATCCCATTGCTGTGCCCCAGCTGTGCACCTGTTTAAAAAGCTTTCTTATTTTTCCCCCCAGTTGGGAAGGCAGTGCTTTTGTTTCTACAACATAAATTGACGTATTGAAGGGCAGGGTCACGAGAGAAGGAGTATTTAACCTCATACATAGACAGTAGTGTTCCCTTTCATAGGAAGATGTAAAGACCTAAACCAAAACAAGACTGACGCAATTCAGACTCAGTAGCCATATCACCTGACACTGACATTCCCAGAGCCCCAGCTGTGGAATATGTGCATAAATATATATAAAATATATTTTTATATATTTGGAATCATAGAATCATATATATTCATATATATTCATATATATGTATATTTAAATCTATATTTTATAATTTATATTTATATATTTACATATAATATATATATTTATATATAATATTCTATATTACAAAGAACAAACCAGTTCCATTTTCCTTCATCTTCAGGACCTGCAGGTTTGGGATTCCAAAGTGTGCTCAGAGGTCCTGGGAACAGAGACCACTCATTGCAGAGGGAAGACAAGGATGCTCTGTCCCTCCTTTTGCCAGCCCAGACTACTATATTTGAGCTGAGAGGAGCGAGTACTACCCACATGGAAGGCTTTCTGTAGAGCTCTTAGGTGGAGCAGCAGCCTTTTCCAGCACGAGCCTGGAGCACAGCACGCCTGGGTGGGTCTGGAGACCCTGCCAAGCACTTCAGTGCTTGTCCAAAACCTGTCCTTGGGAGTCCAGTTCCAAAGGCTTTCCTTCTCCTTTAGTGCTTACCTTATTTTGGAACATCTGCTTTCGATTCCTAAATCACTCTGATGCCTTTGGCTGCTTTAAGGACATTGTTTGGCATCAGGAGGAATTGGTGTTTTAAATAACTGATGGACTGAGCTCAAAACTCACATAGGCAGGCCAGCACCAGATGGGTTTTGCCATTCACAGGGAAAAAAGAGCAATTTAACATGGAAGCCAGCACACATCTGCAGTCAGGAAGTCCTCCTGAGGCTGGGAGTCTCCATAGGCAGGCACTGATCCCATGGCAAAAATGTCAATTTTGAAGCCTTGATGCAAAAGCTGGGTTAATTGGCCTCTGCAGGCTGTCATATCTCTGCTTAAACCATGATCAACTGATGCTCAGAAAGAGCAGGAGATGGCCTCTAAGGAGGTTTCCCTTCTACTCTTTACCCCTATGGATGACATGAGTTCTCGCAGACACAACATAGAAGCCCCAGCGCATCCATCTCATCTCCTTGCCCTGATTCTTCAGCTTCCTAATATCCGCACCACAAATACAACCCTACAGAAAACAGCTGACTATGAAAGGGAGGGGGACACAGCCCAGCCTTTTGATGGGGAGGATCTCATCTGAGTCCCACTGGCTGCTCAGCGCTTGTCTGCAGGTTCCTCTCCAGAAAAGCATTCCTACCTGTCATCTCTACATCTCGCCTTTAAGGTCCAGTGGAAACAAAACAATATACAGCAATGGTCTCACTTACCAACGTACAGTGGGGAGTTGTTTGCTTCTGCAAAGTCGTCTACATAGGATATCCCAAAGGGCTGGATGGGGACTGTCCCGATTCCAGCCAGCAGCTGTGCAATGACCATCATTGCCCATATGCTGCTGGCCTCCTTCTGGGGATCCTGGGTGGTGTTTGGGCACACAAACTTATTCTCTGCATAGCAGAGTTCAGCTTGGACCTGGCTTTTGTTACCTGAAAGGGAGAAGAGTGAGCATTATAATCCTGAGCACATCCCCTGCCTCCTCCCACAATAAACCCCTTAAACACTGGGGGATCTCCCAGAGCTGCTGAGTCGGAACACACTGATGGATTCCAGATGGGTTGCTCATTTTATTTAGCAGTTCTTACCACTTTTCCCTTCCTTTGTGAAGGTATCAAGGCCAGTGGGAAAGCCTAAATATTCACGGATGAAAAAAACCTGGTTTTCATGCAAAAAGAAAGCATTATGGAGCAAACAGAGTAAGTCCTGGACTTTTGATGCTATCTCTTGCCACTCTGACTTTTCTCTTTTTCTCTTTATTATTTGTAATTAGCTCATCATTCCTATCACATTTTTCTTATTAAGGTAATAACTGTGGATTTTCTATGCTTCTGAGCAAACAGACACAAATTTTTCAGGTGATGGGTGGTTTCCATTGGCATAGTGCAGAAGCACATTCCTAATAGCAGGTCACCACAAAAATCCCTATGTGAGTCCATTCCAAGCTGCATTGCCTAAAGGGTTCACATTGCCCATCAGAAGTAGCCTCATTTTCTAATAAGGATTATACTGCAGCCAAAGCAAGAGCCACAGAAGCCTCACACCAGGTTGCGTGCTGTACAGTGGGGCTGCTCTTTGTTTAGTGAGGACAAACCTAATAACCCATGGCTGATTTTGGTCTTTGGTCCCTAGTGGTACCTGGGCAGGAACAGAAAGGGATGTTACCTGGGGCAACCTGGCTGCCCCGAGCAGGACACCTTGCCCATGAATCTCCATTCAGCAGCCCACCTCCTTCCAAAGCAAGGGCCTCACATCTTCATACTGTCCAGACATGTCAGCCTGCTCAAGGCTTCCATCCAAACTCTAACCACAACTGGAATATCTTCATGGGCTGTAAATACTGGGCCAAGACACCTATGGCTTCAGGCAGGGAGCAGGATGATACCTGCTCCTTTGACTTGTTTCCTTTGTGCTAAGAGAAGCCCCTGTCCTGAATCCTGACCAGTTTCTACCCCTGCAAATAAATTTGTCAGAAAACTTGGCTTCTGATGCATGATCCACTCTCCAAACTGGCTGATTTGGAAAACATGGAGATTTATGAGGCTGTGTAGCAGAGAGGTGGCTGCAAGCCAGCACAGAGCTGGTCTTCATATTCCTGTGTAAGCCCTGGCACACTCTCAGCCCCACGCTGGGCGATCATTTTTAATAACATTTTCATGGGGTCTGGGCTTGCACATCAGCCATGGCGGCACCAGATTTCCCTGAGCTGATGGGGGAGAGCAAAGCCAGAGGATCTCTAACCCTTTGGTGGGAGCAGAAGTTGTCAGGCACCTGTGAACCTGTCCTCACTGCAACTGGGGTTTGCATTCTGTTGAGGTGCATCAAGGTCAGGACCTAACTAAAGGCAGCAACTAGCTTAAGGCCATGCAGCAGCTTCCTGGCTCAGCCAAGGCTCCCTGAGCCCAGAGTATCAAGCTAGGATGCAGTGCATGAGGCTCAAAAGGAGGAAAAAGCATCTTCTAACTCAGAAGTGGAAGGCTTTCCCTGCTGGCACTGCTGCGACCACTGCCATTCCCCTCAGTGGCACAGGTACGGGGGGAACAACTTGGTGCAGAGCCAATATGTTTTAGGGTTTTCAGAGGTGCCAATCCCCAAGGAGGCTAAGGCTCCTGAGGCATTAGGAGCCTGAGGCATTGGCATCCTGAGGATTTAGGGGCTGATGTTGCTTTGGGAAGTCCAAAGCCAGCCTTGTGGCATGTGATGTAGGCTCTGCTGCGTATTGCATGCTGCACAGAAAATGAGCTGCTGTCATACACACTGGTTTGTTCGCAAAGTCTGCCCAGTTACACCAGTAAAAATCTTCTTAGGACAGATCATAACGCTTACTGGCTAGACAGAACTGGCCCTGGGGACAGGAGATCTTAATTCTGCTCTATCACCCACATACTGCTCAGCAGCCCAGAGACGACCTCACTTCTCATACTGCAGCACCTCTGTGACTGATCTGCAGTGCCACAGCTGTTAACTTCTTGAGCTATCCAAATGAGACAGATATGGCAAGAACTGTTTGGGTATGAATCCAGCTCAGCATTCAGAAAAGCACAAAGCCTCAGTAGCAAGGTACTACAGAGCCTCTGAGTCCCTTCAAGAAACAGAACAGTGCCCCAGAAGAAGCAGAAGTGAAATTATTTGTCCACAGTCACACAGGGCATCAGCAGCAGAACCAGCATCTCCTGCATCCCCGGGCTTCAGGGTATCCCAAAGTCACTGCCCCATCAGCAGCACTCTCTACTCACAGTTGTTTTCACACTCTCTCCTTGGCTGTTATTTTTTGATAGTTAAATGACATTTCATCATTAATAACAGTGCTGTCATCATGCCCCTTCCCCGGCGGTGCTCAAGGCCAGGTTGGATGGGGCTTTGAGCAGCCTGGAGAGGAGATCCTGCCTGCTGAACTTGAAACACAGACTGCTCCCTCTGGAGGCCTCCGGGAGCCTCTACGGGGAATTTAAGTACGTTACCATGATTACAGCCCTCCTCACCTGAAACAACGGCTGGAACGCGTGCCCTGAAGAGGCAGAAGGGATCTCGAAAGCAGTTACTGCATTCAGAAGGAGTTGCAAAGCTATGCTGAAGTCAGGCATGAAATAGCAAATCTCTGCCCTAAGTTTTCCTTCCAAACCTTGTGTGGATACAATCCCTCCTTTTGGGTAGGCACGGGTAACCCAGCCCAGGACAGCTGGAGATGGATTTGTGCTAGAACGGCTGATGGTGATAAGGGGGAGGCACTTACCGGTGCTGAGCGTGGTGTATTCATAGGGGCCTGATAGGAAGTGGGGCAGGGTAACCAGGAATGCTCCCAGCGCCAGCAGCAGCCCCCCAGCACCAATCACCCGCGGGCGATGAACTCGGCTGCCGAAGTAGCTGACGAAGATGATGAGGACCACATTGCCAATCTGGAGCGGGCAGAGTGAAACAGGGGGGATGTCAGAAGGCATCGTGGAGGAGGTCAAGACCCTATAACTGATTCCCCATTGCTGTGTAAGTGCTCTCCTACCAGGTGGTGTTTGACCCCCACAAGAGCATACCCACCCTGCACACTCACAGCACGTCAGTGCTTGCTTCTCATCAGAAGCCGGCGGGCCAGCTCTTCGGCTTCTGTCACCTGTGCGTACCCTTTGTTGTCATTGACAGTCATCCACATATCCTCCCTGTGATCTAGTTGGGGCTTTTTCAGCACCCACACCTGCCCTTCCCCCATAGAGTGTGCCATAAACTAATAATTCCCCCAAACAGAGTCAGAAATGAAGCATATTGCCTCCATTCCCATGACTCTAAACAGACACAAGGCCAGCTACAAAGTCCAGCTCATTGCAAATGTTTGTAACTCTGGACATTTTCAACTGCAGATATAATCAGCCTAAAAGCTACAAAAACATGCAGCTTACTCAGGCAAGTGGCTGAACAGCATAAAATGACCATTACATGGGCTTAGACAGCTTGGGACAAGCTGGACGTTATTTTACTCTCGACATGTATAGCTAAGAATACTTTTAATTTATGTTTACATAGGCTCCCTTGTTTGTCTGTCTGTGATTCCTGTTGCTGAAATTGCTGCACCCACCAAGCAAAAAGACTGTGGCCCTGGACAGGCAGAGCAGCTCACACAGAACTGGAATAAGGCACAGAAATTGCTCTTATAAAGCAAAGAAATTGAGATGTGTCTGTTGTCTGCAAGCTGTTATTCTTTAACAGATGGCATATGTCCTATTCCAGCCATTTTCCCTTTATATTCTTACAGTAACAGACTATTCTACATGATGTTTGCTCTGGTATTACTTCTCCAGGCATTAATTCCTGTAAGTATATGTAAGGTTTCTAGTGGATAAGGAGCACATGGGTTACAGCTTTGAGACACTCTGCAGAGCTTAATTATGCCAGTTCATCATTAGCAATGTTACAACTGCCCATACTGGGTGTCTTTCTTTGCATGGTTTGGACCTAGTCACAATCACTGGGAAATCCTTCACTGTTGTCACTAGGCTTTGAACCAGATGTAAGTAATGGTTGTGGAAAGACCTGGGCATCCACTTCCCCAAGGACCTGCGAGGATTCACAGTGGCCAGCCTCTTGGTGAAGGATCGCATGTGAAAAGACCAGCTGCATGGAAGGTGAGCTGCCCACAAGCAATTCTTTCTCTGTGCCATCGCAAGAAAGGCTCTGGCAGCAAGTCTTTTCCTAGTTGGCCTTGAAGAGCTACCAGAAAGGATGCAGTTCATGACAAAGTGAACTAGAAAACCTGTTCAAGAGGAGTAAGTGATTAGAAAGTGCTCATGAGAAAATACTCAGCCAGCTCAGCAATGTGCCAGTGAAAGTCAGTCCTTGGCCATAACGCCGTCAGGAGCTGGGAGCACTGGAGAAAAAGGCTAGATCTTGGAGAGACTGCTGAACCGGTCTCCTTTTAGAGAAAGCTTGGAATGACTCGGGCCAGGTTCATTTCTAAAGCCAATGAGAAACCTATGAAAACTGATACTTCCACTTGAAATTGCTCACAGAGTTGTGTGGATACTACTCACAATAAAACACTCTTCACAAAAGCTGTAAGAACTGTAATGAACAGAGAAGAATCATGTTGCATGTATTCTGCCTCCCAGTCTTGTCTCTGCTGGAGATGTATGTGAAATGGTCTCCTCTGAAGCAACCTGCTCTCTGCTGCCATTCTCCAAGGCCATGTTCTCACCACACAACCTTATGCTCAACCTCACACCATATGGTACAGTAGAAGTGAAGTGTGAAGAGGTGTCCAAATGCACAGCAATAGTTGCTTCATCCAGAACATGTAGGCATAACCAATGTGTGAAAAACTCTGAGACCCTATTCTGGGAAGGTACTGGCCACCCCTCAGGGCCCCCACATGAGCTTCTCACTCAGTTACCTCATGCAGGCTAGAGATGAAACCTGAAGAGAGACTGGAGAGCCCAAAGCGTTTCTCGATGGTGGTGAGGCTGCTCTTGAAGTTGGCACTGTAGAGGAGCTGGGAGAGCTGGAGAAGCCCATGGCACAGCACAAACACCTGTGGGCAAAGGAAAGTCCCATCCCAGTTAGTACAGATAGTGCCCCACTGGTGTGTAACTGCTGGTGACCATGTCCCATGCAAGGGATTTGACAGTCACGCACAAGTGGACTCAAGCTGACCAACATGGCTGCATCTCTGACATGCAACAGATCTACTTGAAGGGCTCAGTCCCTGGTTAACTTTGCTTTGCAAAATGAGTGATGCAGTGTTCAGAAGACAGGACAATGAGTTCTGCTTTTGCTTTCCTCTGTTTTACTGCTATTAACGTTCATTGGTATTGGCACTGTGGCAACTGTTGTGCAAACTTCAAGAGCCCTAGGAGGACCCATTGTACTGCTCTACGGTCTCCCCAGAACCTTCTCTTCTCCAGGCTGAGTAAGCCCAGCTCTCTCAGCCTGTCCCCATAGCAGAGGAAAGCATCTTTGTGGCCTCCTCTGGACTCGCTCCAACAGCTTCATGTCCCTCCTGTGTCGTACAAAGATAAATGAGACAGGCTTGACTTTGCATTGACTCGGTTTGTGCTCCATGTTAGAGCCAAGCCTGTGGCTGCTGTGTGACAGCTGAAAGGGAGCTGTACTGGTTTAGACTACCTGTGATGCAGTATTTCCAGTTGGTCCCTTGGATCCACTCAGCTGTAAAGCCAATTAACAGAACCTGCTCCAAGGCATGTTGCAAGATTAAGCTGAAAAGGGGCTTTAAAAGCCCCAGAGGGAAAGCATGAAGTATGCATAATGCAGCCTCACTACTGGAAAACCTCTGTAGTAGTCTAAAAACAGCATCTTTCCCTTGAGTGAGGCTATGAGCTGGGCCAGAACCCAAGCTGGAGGGAGGCACAGCCTCCCCAGAGCAGAGGAGAGAATACAGAGAGTTTATAGGGCAGGGCAGGAGAGTGGTCGAAAGAGCCCCGGTGGCCTGGGAAAGGGAAGTGCTCTCAGCCAGGGATGCAAGAGGCAGTTCACAAGTGTCTTTTGATCTATATTTAGCCAGAACAGTTCTCCTTTATTTTTCTTGGAATGGAATGCATCCACATGGTGCCAAAGGTATTTTAAAGTCATTTAAAAAAAAGGGGGGGGGGGGAAGAAGATCTTTTAATTTAAATCTACAGGAAATCAAATATTTGCTGAATACCGGAAGCATGTCCCACAAAGATAACGGCTGGAAGCCCAAGATGATGAATGTAGGATCAAAGGTACTGCAGGGCTGACAAATTCCTTACGTCCTTGGCTAGGAGAGCAGCAATCTTCTGTATTAGTATTTATGTGAAACGGTGGTAGTGCTCAGAGCCATGACCCATTGTATGAAAAAAAAATCCTCAACCCAGAATAAGAACTAAATTGTCCATCCAACACAAGGGATACAAATGCTGTAGGTGGGTGAAGTGGCTTTTTGGAGAGTAGAGAGGATGCAGAACCAGCTCCAGCAATAGCAAGAGAATTTGGTTCAAAAATAGGGAAGAAGAGAGCTTATGGGAAGCTTCTCCAGTAAGGCAGGATAGCACCAGGCAGAAGACACAGACGGATATCTAAAAGCATAAGAGATGGGAGAGATGCTGACAGGCAGTCGGGGAGAAGAGGATGGAGATGAAAGAGCAAATGGAGCCCTGGTAGTGTGAGGGCAGGCTGGGAACAACTTGGAGACAAAATAAGAGGGAAGAAGGGTCTCAGGGACAAGCTGACATCTTGAACTCCCCAGCCACATTCTGGAGGGGTGTCAGCAGATAGGATAGCATCAGGCAGGTATCTGCCACCACAGCAGCTGAGCAGGAGAGGACAAAGTCCCAGGCCGGGACTTTGCCCCAGTATAAAGCCGCAGAGCAATGACGTGGAGTGTAACATGGGAAACTCACCCAGACTGGGACAAAGTGGAAGTGAAACATCTGAGAGTAAACTCTTGAAGCAGAATGACCTCTACACCCTCCAGCTATCGACTCCTACATAAAAAATACCCATCCTAGCACGTAGTCCTACAGGTGAAAGCTGGATCTGCCACCTTCTCCTTTTATCCTGACCTGGGATCACCATGTGATTAGTCCAGCCAGGCTGTATCTCTGGCCAGACCCTATTTAAGTCATTCAAATAAAGAGGCACTGGCTAAACAGTGGAGGGCCAGGACACCAGAGATGCAGAGCAGCTGGAGGAAGAGTTCTCCCGTTATGAGGCATTAGCTGGAGAAGCAAAGCTGTTTACCAATGGGGAGGGAAGGAGATGGATCACTGCGACTGAATTTAGTGCATCAAATGGCAGCCGAATCCCAGGGCAGATGGGGACACAAGAAGTGTTGGGGGGAGAGGATGCTCTCAGGGAAGGAAGATGAGGAGAAGCAGCCTGACTCCCTGAAATGCTGGTGTTGGCAGGGGATGGGGAGAAGGTAGAGGCATCGAAGGAGCATGGGGAACCAGCACTGTCTGTGCTTTATGAGAGGATGGAGGGCAGGAGATGAGAGGAACAAGCTGTGGTCAAAGGAGCCAGGAGATGGCCTAGTGATATGCATTGGTGAGAACGTGGGGATGGACAAAACAGGGCCACGGATTCCAAAATGCCTGGGAGCAAGCTGGGGCTGCCTGCTGTAAGGGTGGCATGGTGAGAGAAACAGCTGGAGAGTGGTGACGTGGGGAGAGAAAGACTTCAGGGGATGACTTTGCTGCAGGACTGTGCGACTGGAGCTTGGCTTTTCTAGATGTACTTTGTCTGCAGGTGAGAGATGTGCCTGACCTCAGACTTCCCCTGCATTCAGCAGATCCAACTCAAAGTACCAACTTCCCAAACCTTGGAGGCTCTGAGTACAAATAGCTGGGAGAGGGGCTTGCTTGGAGGCCCCCCCAAAAGGAGCCCCTGTGTTCATGCTGACCACCCACAGCCTGCTGGTGCATGGAAAGCAGCACTGACCTGGTCCGTTCCAGCTGCACAGAGCACCAGATGTGCTGCTCTGGCTGCATGTACTCACTGAGCAACACCAGGAGGGGATGGAGCTGCTATCATTCATCTTCCATAACACTTAACGAAGAAGGGGTTTTTAAACAAGAGCCAAGCTCATGTGAAGAGAGGTTTCGCTGATGCAAAGCCAAAATAACTGCACTGAACACGAAGGTTAAGGAGTCAGGGACACTCTCACAAAGTGCCGACCCTCCAGATCAGATGCCCCCATCAGACCCTGGTGTATTTTTGGAGCTGCAGGCAAGCAGCAATCACAGGGAGCAGCACAGAGAGGCCCGAGGCGTGCACCCACATGCACCCACACACACACATACGTACAAAATCCCCTCTTAATCATCCCCACGTTTCCTTTGGAGCGCCTGACCGATCCTGACTCCAGGCTGTTTATACAAGACACTTGACTTCTTTCCAAGATGTACTTCATTTAAAAGGGAAGCAAACACACGGGGGAAGGTCCCTCACAGACACGCAGTTCATGGGGCACCTCCCAGGCCATGCATTTTGGTAAGAAAGAGAGGGGGCTGTTCCCTCCAGTCTGGACAACACTTCTCAGAGTTCAAAGCAAAGATTTGGCAACTATCCAGTCAATCCCAACAAAAACCTCCTCCAGAGGAGACATGTTCAACAAGTACTCGACCTGGTGGGGCTAAGAGGTGTGCAGGCTGGGCTGCCAGCAGCCCCCAGGTATGAGGATGCAGCAGCAAGGCTGAGGTCCAATGCTGACACCAAAGCATCCCTGTGAAATGTCGGGTATGGCCACAGTGGCTGGTGTGGTGTGCACATGGGAGATGTCCGAGGTGATGTTTCAGCCCTTGCATCAGCCTCAAAGACCCACTTGCACATTTTGCACTTCCCTCAAGCTAGCAGGGAATAAAGTAAGGCTCTGGGAGGAGAAAGGGGGTCTCCCAGCCTTGTGCTGAACTTATAAAGCAGACAAGGGTGAGGAAGCGAGAGCCAGGGGGTAAACCATCTTTGAGGTGGGTGTTCTTGGGATCAGAAGCTTGTAGGGTCAGAGGGAGGTTGCTGCTCCGGGGGCTGGATGTGTGCTCTAGGAGGAGGCACTGTTGCTGGCAGTGCTGGTAGGCAGCAGGCACTCGCACTACCCCATGCCATATACTGGGGCAAGTGAGCTGTATTCCCTTATCTTGTGGCTCCCTCTTTCCCTATTGCTTACTTAAGATAATGCACTGTCAACACTGTCACTGGCATTACCAAACAGGCACACACAGACTGGACTTCAGAAAAGCCTATTCTGAAAGGTGGGCTGTTTCAAAAGAGGGTTTTAGGGGGGCATGCTGGAGGAGCATCCCTTGGTCACTGAGTCAGCCAGCAAAATGCTTGGCAAGTTGGGTTAAATAAGAAAGAAGCCCACAAAACAAACAAGAAATGCTTGATAACCCCAGCATGCATGTGCTGGCCTCAGGTCAGACCCAAGGTCAGGTAAAAAAAATCAGGTTTGTTTTTATTTCAAAGCAGTGAATTGCCTCTATGGAGCCTCCAGGATCTAGGACACTCCTCTAGGTGGGAGCCTGGCTTTGCTTTGCAGGAACCAGGGGCTTGGGAAGGTGCTACTATGCGTGATATGGTCACTTTCCCTTCCTCTCTGCCACCTGGAGGAGTGACTTGAAGGTTAACTCCTTGCTCTGCTTCCACAGCTTCATGCTGAGGTGGTGGCACTCATGTCCAAAGTCATCCCTACCTCGCTTTTCAATGTCTTCTACTTGGCAGCCCTGCTTGGAGATAGGGACGGCAAAAACATTGATGGTGCTGCTCACCTTTGAGGAGAAAGCACTGGCAGCTCCTGGCTCTGGCTTTCATGTACATGCATCTATGCTAACCCCTGCGCCCAACAGCCTTCCCATAGCAACACCACTGCTATGATGAATGGAAAGGCAGGGATGGAAAGAGACAGGGCTTAATTCCTGGAGTTCATAATTAAACCCGCAGTCCTGCATCCAGCTGTGGGGGCAACAACCAATGGAAGGTATCCTTGCCCATGGCAGGGGGTTGGAACTGGATGAGCTTTAAGGCCCTTTCAAACCCAAACCAGTCTGTGACTTTATG